GCTGCTGCTGCTGCTGCTGCTGCTGCTGCTGCTGCTTACCAGTGCATGCGCCTTCAGCAGCACCAGCTGCGGGTTTGCTGCTGTCTGCTGCTCCGCGTGCCGCTGCAGCAGCTGCAGCAGATCGTTGTGTCTACCTAGGGCGTGCTGCAGCCATAAAGCAGCAAAAAACCACTTGCTGCTGCTGCTGCTGCTGCTGTTGTAGGTGCGGCTGCTGCGGCCGCTAGGGTTGCGCCTTCTGCGCCTGCGGTTGCTGCTGCTGCTGCCGCCTCTGTTGCTGCTGCTGCTGCTACTCTGCCTTCTGCTGCTGCTGCTGCTGTTACTCTGCCTTCTGCTGCTGCTGCTGCTGCTGCTCCTGCTGCTGCTGCTGCTGCTGCTGCTGTTGGATAAGCTGTGACGACAAACAAGCGAGCGCAGTTGCTGCAGCGGCTCAGATGAATCTGCAGCAGCAGCAGCAGCTGCTGCTGCTGCTGCTGTGGTGGGTGAAGCAGCAGCAGTTGCTGCTGCTGCTGCAGCGTTGCTGCTGCCTTGTGACGGGTCCTCCAGCTCTTGCTGCTGCTGCTGCTGCTGCTGCACCTGCCGCAGCAAACGCTGCATCGAAGGCGAGCGAATGGGGTGCTGCTGCTGCAGCAACTGCTGCTGCTGCTGCTGCTGCTGCTGCTGTGCGGGGTCTGGGGCCCCTAGCAGCAGCAGCATGTCTGCTGCTGCTGCTTCGCAGCAGCAGCAAACTGACAGCAACTCATCTATCCACTCTCCTGCTGTGTCTTCAGCTGTTGCTGCTGCTTCGATCTGCTGCAGCAGCTGCACGTCTTGCTGCTGCTGCAGCTCATGCTGCAGCAGCTGCTGCACTAGCTGCTGCGCCTCAGAATCCTGCTGCTGCTGCTGCTGCTGCTGCTGCTGCTGCTGCTGCTGCTGCTGCTGCTGCTGGTCAGCCTGCTGCAGCAGCAACAACGCTTGTACTAGAAGGTCCTGCTGCTGCTGCTGCTGCTGCTGAGCGCAGATCCCGCGAGCTTCCAGCAGCAGACTCTGAGGGGCAGATACATTGTTGCTGCTGCTGCTGCTGCTGCTGCTGCTGCGACAGCTGCCGCAGCGCCTGCTGCTCCTTTTGCTGCTGCTGTGATATGTTGAGGGGTCTAGGGGGTCTGGCAGCAGCGGGCAGAAGGGGTAGTCTATGGAAAACTG